CACACACTGACAGTTCCTGCCCCATGGCTCCTCCATGGCCACCCTCACCCACACACGGACAGTTCCTGCCCCACGTGCAGCAGCAGCAGCAGCAGCAGTGTCCCTCTGCCTGTGAGGGAGCAGCATGGCACACCAGGGGAGACACCTGCCCTGTGCTTGGCCATGAACCCAGGGGGAGCCCACAAGGGCTCTGCAGCTGGTGCCTCTTGAAAGTTCAGCATAGCCCCTTCCCTGTGCCAAAATTGGTTTCCTCCACACTGTAAGGGCCTGGTAGCAGCACCCAGCATAATGTCACCAGGAAATATCACCAGACCCTGTGTTTTATTTGCCTAAAAAGATCCTCAAGTGACTCTGCAAATTATCCCCTTCCTGACTGGTGGTGCTCTTTTGGCTGACTCCCCTTTATCCTGTTCCCTGGGCAGCCTCACCCTAGTGAGGAATTCCCAGTTTGCTCTGATCCAGGTGTTTCCCCAAAGCATCTGGGCTGCCACACATCATGCCATTGTGGTTTTGTGTCATTTTCCATCCAGTGCCACGTTGTCAGCTGGGCTGTACTAAAGGGCACCATGTGAGAGCACAGGGAGCCATGTAAGTCTCTTTTGGGGTCCTGAGGAAAGTGACGGGCAGAGGGGCTTGGGGAGCTGTCAGCAGTTTGGGGTTCAGTCCTGCAGGCGCTGGCCGAGAGGCAGGAGGGGTTTGCATGTCCCCTGTCCCTCACCCCATGGACAGGGAGCACACCCACAGCTGCCAGGGTGTCACCTCAAAGGGATGCAATCCTGAGAGCTCTGGCCTTGCTGGGAGCACCCAGCAGCTCCTGGGAGAAGCAGGAGCTGCACAGCACAGGGTCTGTGAGCGAGCGTGGCTGGGCTGAGAGGGAGCTTGGAGGGGCTGCAGGGCCTGATGGAAGCTGCTCCTTTCAAAATGGAACCCTGGCATTCGTGGCAGCCTGTGCTGCTCCTCAGAAGTGTGAGGGAAGGGCACGTCCTGCTGGGCTGGGGCTCCTGGCCTGGCTGGGGGAAGGAGCAGGGGTCACATCTGCTCTGCCCAGACCCCTGCAGGACTTTCCCCTCTGCAGGAGGAGCTTCTCCCAGGCCCTCTGGTTCTGCTCTCCCTTCTTCACCTTCCTCTGCTCCATGGCTGTGGCATAACCAGGGCTGGGGGCACTT